ATATATATCATTTGTCTTTTATTTGTCAATTTCCTGCCAAATTGGTAGACATTAATCCATATCCTATATTATGATATGATGTGTTTCAAAAATTATATCGGTAGTCATGCATACCTTAGCGATCGGTACCTTGTATTATCGGTATTATCGTCAATATTATTAGATTAACAAGTATAATATTATATTCTAATAACAAATATAAAATAACAATAATTTAATAATTATATTTACTAAATCTCAACTTTTCAATAAGATTAAAAATGATATAACTCAATTTTTAACTTTTTAAGTAAAAAATTAAATTCTCTTTTATTTTACATACTTTTTACTCTTTTAATGTTGACTGATATTTTATCTGATTTTTGTTTTCTTATTTTGCCTTGTATGTTCGGTGCAACTCTGGTACATTTCAGTATTACCGTAAATTGATATTTTGTATTAATTTTTGTCGGACAAATAATAGGTATCCAGTATTACCAGCGGATACAATATAATATTTAAAACAGTAATTCCGCACAAGTCACAACAGAAGTTACATATTTTTCTTACTTTACAACAAATTATGATAATTTAGTAATGATAATTTAAGTAAGATACATTTAGTGGAGATGACTTATGAGCTGTTAGTTGAATTGAATTGTTCATAATACCACTCCATTCGATACTGAAATCTTGTGCTCGGTTCGTTCTTTTAGTTAAACAATATGAGTTCGATCAATTAATCAGTTATGTTCAAAATTAGATTATTTATTATATATATATTTTGATGACCATATCGTGTATGTAAACAATTCATTTATAATTTTAAATTTATTAAACAAATCAAGCTGAACATTCAAAAGTTTAGACTTTATGAATTGAGATAACTCATTTATTAAACGAAGACCACGAGTTTGAACTCAAAAATGTAATCAAAAAATTATGTACATGTCTAGTAATTCTTCCGACTTTCCAAAATTGTCCCCAAAGTACATCCACTTTAAGCACGGTGGTGCACGAAGACCCAAAGAAGGTAAAAGCAGGGGACCCCGGCAAAACGACGCCGCTTTAAAAGTTTGTTTCTCGTTTTCTACTATTACACAAACACCTATACATACACAAAATACAGTCTCATAGGTACAACTCTATTCTCTCTCTATATATTTCCACTTGAGAGAGAAGACAGGAGCGAAAAATTAGCCAAAATCTAGTGAGAGACTGAGAGAGAGAGGAAGTCATAAATGGAGGGAGCTGAAAGCAATAATAATGGCGAAGAAGAAATTCAAGGTTCGAGTTTGACGATGGAGAAAGTTGCTGCTGCTAAACAGTACATCGAGAATCACTACAAAAATCAGATGAAAAGCATACAAGAAAGAAAAGAACGGTATGTAGTACTCTCCCTCTCCCTCCCTCTCCCCCTGTGTGTGTGTGTGTGTGTGTGTATGTTCATACTTTGACATATACGCACATAAAATGATGAGCTTGTGGCACTTTTCTTTTTAGTTTTCCCGTTGTCTTAGGAATGTGGTGTTGTAGCATTTGGATTATTTTTCTTTTGAGTTGCTAATTGAGTATTTTAACGAGATCTGCGGCTCTATTTGATTTTATTTTTTAATTTCTGTTTTCCTCAATTCTTGGGGGTAAATTACCCTTTGGATTTTAGGTTTTCATTGTTCAATTAAGATATAATAGTGTTGATTCCCCTTGTGTTGGTTTTATTTATTAGGGATGGTGTGGGACGGATGTTTTTAAAATTAAGGGATTGCATTTATATAATGATCTACTGTTGAAGTGAGATTGAAAACTATCAATTGAACTGGATTAAATGGATTGCATCTCTAATGATAACTCGGAATTAAGTGTTAAATTTACGGCGAGTCTGAGTTGTTGATGAGGTAAATGCTTGCATATTATTCCTTGTGTCAAGCTTATAATACTCTTGTTTTCAAATTCTGTATTTGCAAGCCATGGCAGCTGTATCTTTTTTAGCTTTGTGGTTCTTGGATGCATTTAGTAGGTCTGAACTTGATCCACTAGAGGCAATAAATGCGTGTTATTAAGGCCGGAAAGTTAGTTCAAGACTCCCTAGTTGGTTTTCGTGACTTTTGTCGTGGCATGACCCGTGGTGGTTACTTTTTGTATTATATAAAGCATGAATTACGAACCTGATGACGATTTACGAACTCAAATGTAGGGTACTCTTAATATAGGAAATTCCTGGGTATGTCAATCATCATTTATATATCTTGTAATGAAGACTTCGATAATAATTGGACTTGTGAAAACCCAATAATTTACTTATTTAGTGATTATAGGAAATATCATTTTGGCTAGCAAATCGTGTGAACAAAGTTCATGGGCTCTAATGGACTTGACTTAGTCCTTTACCTGCATCATCATCTTGCAGAGTAGAGAGGACAGGTGACATTTAAAGTGGGTTTTGTATGCGAGAATATTACTTCTTGTCACTTTCAACGTATACCTTGTCTTTGCATTTTTATACCTTACCTCTTTGTCTCGATTCACTGCCAGACTTCCTAAATGCATTTTATAGCCTATATGCGTATGCTTTTTACTCCAGGCGATGGATACTAGAAAGGAAGCTAGCATCTTCGGATGTGCCCAAAGAGGAACAGATAAATCTGATTAAAGATTTAGAAAGAAAGGAGACAGAGTTTATGCGGTTAAGAAGGAACAAGCTATGCGTGGATGATTTTGAACTGCTAACCATCATAGGTCGTGGAGCCTTTGGTGAGGTTGGTGTAATTGTTTGAATATCGCTATTCTCCTATCTCAATTTTTTATGTTTTTTAATGCATTTCAAATGTCCGTATTGCTTTCTGTTTTCATATGAATTACATGCATTAAATTCCAATCTCCCTTTGGTTGCTTTATGAGCTTCTGCTTTTATTTGATGTAGGTTCGGTTATGCCGAGAGAAAAAATCTGGCAATATTTATGCCATGAAGAAGCTGAAGAAATCCGAAATGCTCTCAAGAGGACAGGTGATGCACATTATTATGTAGAGTTTTAAATTCTATTATTTGTTGGACTCTTGTTTCTTCTCTATGACCAATTAGAATCAATAATGCTCTCACAGTTTAAACATTTGCTATTAGGTGAAATTTTGTATATGTGCATGTGTGTGTTTTCTCTGTTCTAACGGTTGTCGCTATTCATATATTGTAAAGTTTTGCAATTGGTTTCACATTGTCAGGCCAATTCATCTCAAAATATGTTGCTTTACAGGTGGAACATGTGAGAGCAGAGAGGAACCTATTGGCAGAGGTGGACAGTCATTTCATAGTTAAATTATATTACTCTTTTCAAGATGCTGAGTATCTATATCTCGTCATGGAATACCTTCCTGGTGGTGACATGATGACTTTGCTGATGAGAGAAGACACACTTTCTGAAAGTATGGCTAAATTTTACATTGCACAAAGCGTGTTGGCCATTGAGTCCATTCACAAGCATAATTATATTCACAGGTTTGTATAAACCCTCGTTGGAATCTGAGGCCATTGTTTAGGAATTAAACCTTTTATGTGTTATAAGTTTGTTTTCACTTTCTCTAACCTTTTCTTTACTTTAGGGATATCAAACCGGATAACCTTCTTCTTGACAAAGATGGACACATGAAACTCTCTGACTTTGGTCTGTGCAAGCCACTTGATTGTAGAACATTATCTACAGTAAATGAAAATGAGGCCATGGATGATGAAAATATAAGAGAACCAATGGATATTGACGGACGCTTTCCCGATGCTGCTAATGGTAGTAATTGGAAAAGCCCACGCGAACAACTTCAGCACTGGCAAATGAATAGGAGAAAGCTGGTAAGAAATTCTTTGAAACAAAAGTGTGTTTTATTTTCACTAAAAATATTGGATTTGGAGTCATGTCTTGTTCTTTTTTTTGGGACTTCTTTAACTTTAAGACCATGCTCCGGTGTTTTCTTGCTTTATTTATCGGAAGCTCTTGTAAACCTCTTCGCATTATATCTGAACTGGTATGCTTTATTGCTTTGTTTTCCAGTTCATGTCAATTAATCATATACACTTCTCTTTTCTTCAGGCATTTTCAACTGTGGGTACACCAGACTATATTGCTCCGGAAGTTTTGTTGAAGAAGGGATATGGTGTGGAGTGTGACTGGTTAGTTCAAGTTCTCCCTTTCTTATTATTACAGCAGTTACATTTTTTATTTACTTGTTTTGGCTGATAGTAGATATGAACTGTGTATGGTGCATGTGTTGTTTGATTTCATTGTTCGTAGCTTTACAATATGAAGGTGTGTGATGCAAGCCTTCTTATCCCTCTATTGTCACAAAGTCTATAGTTAATGCTTCAGTTAAGAGATTTTTTCATTCACATGAGGATTCAGATGACATGCATTTTTCTACACTGCATCAGCTGGAATTATAAATTTTAGTGAAAAAAAGTTTTCGGCCCATTTGTTTATATCTTGTCCCCTTTAACTACTCATGCGACTGCAGGTGGTCTCTGGGAGCAATTATGTATGAAATGCTTGTTGGCTACCCCCCTTTCTATTCTGATGATCCCATGACCACTTGCAGGAAGGTACATATTTCACACGTAAAGTTCAACAGTTTTTTCTGTGACTCAACTTCATATATACTTGTAGTAACTGAGCCATATAGATTTTGAATCACATAATTGCTAATGGATAGACTGTGTTGGATTTTCACACAAAAGGCCTAAGCAGTGACTGTGTAGAGAACAAGATTGCAACAAAAATTACCTCTATGTGCATAGTAATTACTGCTTAAGCAACTTTCACCTAATTGGGTTAACAAAACGATTGCCAGATAGTTCATTGGAGAAATCATCTCAAATTTCCTGAAGATGCCAAACTGAGTCTTGAGGCAAAAGACCTCATCTGCCGTTTGCTCTGTGATGTCGAACATAGGCTTGGTACTGGAGGAGCTGCCCAGATAAAGGTCTTTAAGTTTCAATCTCTCTCTCTCTATCTCTCTCTCTCTATCTCTCTCTCTCTTCTCTCTCTCTCTCCCTCTCCCTCCCCCTCTTATAATGATGAAATGTACAAGGAGTACAGGCTCACCCTTGGTTTATGGGTATTGAATGGGATAAACTGTATGAAATGGAAGCGGCCTTTAAACCAGAAGTTAACGGAGAGCTGGACACTCAGAACTTTATGAAATTTGACGAAGTACACTCTCATCTCTTTTCTTACTTTATAGTGGTTTTTCTGTGATCTCTATTATGTTGATATAGACTAATTGAAGAAAATTTCTTATTGGCTCCAACAGCTAGGTCCTCCAATACCAGCAACATCGGGATCAGGACCTTCGCGAAAGGTTTGCTGTGCTCTTCCTACATTTTCTATTTTATTTTATTTTATTTATTTTGCAAGATAACCAGTTTATGTTTTTCCTTGCTGTAAGTGATTTACTCAATATATGCGTATGGCTGATGATGAATAAGGTAATTAACTTGGCCCTCATATTTAATCAAACAGATAAATCTTAATCCAAAAGACTTGAGCTTCGTGGGCTATACATACAAGAACTTTGATGCTCTCAAGGCACTACGTTACTCGTCAGGCAAGGATTTCAATTATTCTAAGTCGACAGTAGTAATTATACTTTCTCTGTCATGGAGATTGTTTTCAACCAACATGTAGCAAAATTCTCAATATTTAAACTTTTACTGGGTGCAGATCATAGGAGGAGCACATCACCAAGCCGCCCATCCATTAATTCCATATTTGGTAAGCACACAATTTAAGATATTGAATTTTCGAAAAGCTAGGACTTTTCGAGGTTGTGGACTAATGTGATGAAGTGTGATTGTTAGGTGAGTCGGTGGGAGGTCATACGAGGAAAGCAACACCGGATGGAACAGATGTACAAATGATGACGACATCCGATGATGTCATGTCTCCATAGATTGAGCAAAAAAGCACGAAGGGTTCGGCAATTGGGAAATCTAGCATGCTTGTAGCCAGATTGCTCGTTCCTTTTGGGCCTCGGTTGATTGTACAGTATGATTGATAGCAGGGCCCAAGATGTGTTGAACAACTTTATATTAGTATAAACGTCGTCTTAAGTGTGTGTAGTTTGCAGTTAGAGTAAATACTGCATGATTGAACCTGGCTGCCCAGGTTGGCAAGGGAACTTGCTTTCTCTTGTGGCTGTGTTCTTTGTGGTCAGATATTTTATGGATGGCTACTTTATGCAGAAACTCTTCTCATCGGATGAAAACAACTTGGGGATCATTTTTTTTTTTTAATCTTTTTTCTTGCCTTTTTATTATTTTAAAGATTTGATGCATACAAATAATTGAACCTGTATCTGTTAAAAAAATTATTTCGATTATACCTCACGATTGGATTGGTACAATTAATTAGAACTAATTTAATAAAAGACTATAAATACGGAATCATATTTGTTACCTAATCTATAGGATACATCTGTATAAAAAAAATACATTTAATAGGGTTTTAGTATAACAAGATTGTTGTTCATCAAATCTTTCGTCGTTTATTTCCTATTATGGACCATCAATATGGTTGTGTATGTTATGTGATCAAAATTACCTAAAAAAAAATAAAAGAAATCGGATTTACATTACATAAACGCAATAAATTAGTCGATAATGTTTTCCTATTCTGTAGGATACATCCACCAACAAAATAAGCCGAAAAACATTTCTTATTCTACTTCACACAACCAATTATTTTTACTGAATAAATCTATGATTTTATTAATTTTTTTTATAAAATATGGCCGTGTTCTATTAATTTCAATTACCAAATAAAGGAAAAGGAATCAGAATAAGATCTCCAATTGCAAATTTTAACGAATTTGTTACTTAATCTATAGAATACATCCACAAAAAATTAAAACAAATCGCATTTAAAAGAGCTTACATATCACAAAAGTATTAATCATCAAATGTACAAAAATTTATTTCCTATCCTACAACACACGCTAACTCATTGATAAAATGTTACACATAAAAGGGTTCATAACTCAATCATTTAACGCACCTCTTCCATATTTTTTAGTCCTATATTTTATTTATTTATATTTATTTCAATCTTTTCAAAATATCAAAATGCTGCTTATGTGGGGTTCTCTCAAGTCAGTTTGTCGTACCGATAAACAATATTGAAGCTTAAGGTTGTCCGCGTATTTGAACGCAAATCTGAAGTCAAATACAATAACGTTTTAGAAATTGTTTTTCATGACCAAGAGGTAATTCGTTTTCTACTTTTTATCTCATTTTTAGATATAGCCGCGCATTTTTTTTTTCATGACCAATCGTTATCGTATGTCAGTTTATTTCTTAATAAGTCTTTTAGTTATGACCAGTTCATTGTTGTCTCTAGTGTCACCAACCGAAATGTTTTGAAAATATTAGTCTATGTTGATGATAGCTTGCTAACCAATCAAACAAAAAACGTTGTGTACAAGTGTTCAATAATTTATGATTTTTTAGTTCGTTGGCGACCCGTTTATTTTTTATTTTTTACACACACTGACACACATAAGAAGTCTATTAATTTAAATATTTAAGATGTTAAACATTCCAGTAAAATATAAATATCATCTCGTGCGATGCAAGGATCACGAAATGCCTGGGTGCCGAATAGAGAATGGAATACAGAAATTGAAGTGGTTCGGGGAGCACGGCTGGAATGGTTAGAGTTTGAAGCTGCAAACACTAAGCCCTTGCCTCCTCAAACCCCTTCATCTCTTGTTTGAATCTTAATGATGTATTAGTATATAGCTTGTATTTTGCTTTTTGTATTGTGTTTGGCCTGTCTAAAGTCAGTAGGCTTATTTTTGAATCTCTTCTGCTAATTTTAGGAACATCTCCTGAGGTTAGAATCTATAAGTCTTGATGCTTTCATTCGTTGCAGGATTATTTGATTCATGGAAGTGAATACAAAATCTGCCTACAATTAATCCTTCAGATAGAAATATTTATTTCAGAGAATCTTAGTAAATCTGTGTTTGTTTTGGAAAATGTATGCAAGACAAATAATTTGCAGCTAAATCACAATGTAACACAAATGTGATAGCAGAGTATTCATAAAATGAACATGTAATGCTAAAAACTGAAAAACAATTGCAGCTAAATCACATTAATTTCCGAATCAAATCGAATCCAAAAAATAAAACATAAAAAAATTAAACACTAATTAAAATTAGCCACACACTTCATATCTAAAGCGTGTAGATCCTTTCACACTTACTGTTGTCACTTCCTCAAGTTCCCTTATCTTGGCCTTCACATCCACTCCACAACAATCCTCTTCATCAATCAATCTCAAGAAGCACAAATGGTGTTTGCAGTAAGCTCCATTCCCTTCAAACACCTTAAACATCTTAACAAACAAATCGATCATCAGCACCGAGTCGTAATACTCGTTCTCCCGAAAGTTGAGCAGAATCGCGTGGCCCATTTTCCGAAAATACCCCGGCACAAAGTCTCAAAAATCCGAGGGAGGCTCTTTCAATACCCTCATCATCTTCTGACACGTCAGCGCGAAAATCTTCCTGTTGTTCTTGTCACGCGGCTCTAATTTAACCGCAGTTAGCTCGTCTCGAATCGCGCGAAAAACGAGCATGAGGTTGTTCGACTCGTCGGGATTCCACTTTTTGTTAGCTATTCCGGGCAAGTAGTTTTGCTTGAGCCGGTCGTACCATTTGTTTTCCGACAGGGGTAATATGGTAATTTTGCCGTCCGTGCGGAGGAGGCTCGGGTGCAAGTCGAGCCCGTAGGGGCGGTAGTGAATCTTGGGTGGTTTTTCCGGGTAGTTTTCGGGGAATTTGAGGTCAAAAAAGAACAAGCAGCCGTGGAAGGGCGTGTTTGGCGGGCCGATAATCGCGGCTCGCATTAGGTCGATTCTGTGCTTGTAAGACCGCGCGAAAATCCAACTCGGGACGTTTTTGGCGAACGTTTTGAGCTCGTTTTGGATCGCGGTTTTGTTATGGGTGGTCGAAATCGGGTTTTTCCAGCTTTTCAGGTTGAATAAGTCGTAGTGGTGGTGGTCGAGTGGCGGGTGGTTGAGCTTCACGTCAAAATTCTTGAAACGGTTGAACTTTGCGTCGACTTCGTCGATTATCTCCTCGATTTCGCCGAACTCCGGTTGCCGGTCGCCGGTTTCCGGCATGTTGTTCTGTTTAATGTATTGTGATTTGTGATGATGAACTTTGTGTGCTAGTTTTTGTAGATTTTAGCTATGGATACGTGTTATGTTTTTTTTTTTTTCAATCATTGTTATTTAAAGTTTGTGAGTAGAAGTAGAATCCTTTGCATGATATACTTCGAGACTCCTAATACGTCTCTGCCTTCTTTAACTAGGAATGAGATGAGGTGGGAAAGGCTATAAATTACATCTTAATAAAGCAAATTTTTGAACGTCGGTATTTAGTTTTGGGTTATATTAAGGCGACAGGCCCAAAACACATGAAAAAGGTCGAATAATTTAATTCAGATTCTAATTAAAATTTAATTATTATTTTTTAATTATAATTTGTAGTTTAGGTATTTAGAACCAAGTTCAATAGTTGACTACTAAATCCAGACTCTCTTGTTGGTTCACTTCTTAAATATTTAGAAGCCCAATCACCGAACGTGTTTTAAGGTCTTGGGCCAGGTTGATGTTTTTCATTTGATGCCTGAGACTTTTTCTACAGATTACAAATGCAGATGATGTTCTTGTTACCTTCTGCAACTCTAGACAAGTTCTATATGGGACCCACAACCAGCAGGAATGACCTATGGTCTTCAACAACTTAAGGAATGAAACAAAAAATTAATGGTTGGTGTAATTGGGCATAAAATGGTCTAAGTGGAAAGCCTTTTGTTTTCAGGTGTTAACACACCATCAAACCACTGAAATGGTCAGGTGAAAGGTCACATGTCTAGGTTCAGTGAACCTAGAGATGTCTCACTTAGGTTGAGTCACAAACCCGAGTTCAAATCCAAATTGATTTGTAATTTTCATTTGGATCACAAAATTGCACCAAAAAGATATATAATGGTTGAGCTCAAGGCCCAAGCCCAATATCGGCCCAGACCGTCCAAAGCCGCCAAAGTCCAATTGCCACGTCCCAAGATATTGAGCTGCGCTTCAATATTGAGTAGTCCCTTTTGGAATTACTTATCTTAGATTTGTAGCTAGACTAAAAAGCCCATTGAAAAGTTTAGAGAAAAAAACTTTTTACCATCCGAACTATAACGATTTTCGCGCATCACCATATAAACTTTTATTTTTTGCAAACCACCATCTGAACTATACGGGTTTGTCAAATTGCTCTCTAAACCGGATATGAAAGTGGTTTTGACTACAAAAAAAGCTGATTTATGGGGCATTTCAATAATTTCACAGATTTTTCAAAATAAACAAAAAAGAAAAATGAAAACACTGAAGTTGACCCCACTACTACATGCATTCTTCCGCTCTCTCTTCAAGTCAACCATCCATTTATTTGTTTATATTTATCTCTCCATCTCCTGTTGGTCTTTGCTCTACTCACTCTGTAAATATTGAAACACAAGAATTAACACTTACACACACCACAAAGTGTCGGCCTTGTATGGGTAAAAAAAAAAAGTCCCATGTTATCATTACCAGTTTGCATGTGCCCACCTTACTATTTCCTCATATTTGCACCTCATTAGAGAAAATATACAAAAATAAAGGAAGACAAAAACAATTACTGGCTGCGGTAACAAATTAAGAGGATTTAATCGTAAGGGAATCTGGGAAGAGAATCGATTTTAAAGCTATGCTTGATCATGCTCTGTTCAACTTACGCCAACAAGAACCAGGTGCACTCTAATGCTTCATTTGTTTTTAATCACTTCTTGTTTATTCTGTTGTCTGACTATATTTTCATCACCATTAAAAGGAAAGTGAACAAAGGTGTGATCTTGTGATATTTGCTGGGAAAAAGAGCGAGAAAATAGCTTCAGGGCTGCTTGAACCTTTCATCCCCCGTCATGTCCTTGCCGCCGGCGTTAGCATCGAGATCCTCAAGGCTGTCGGAGAGCCTTCGAGGGGTGGCTCCCGCCATGTCCTCTACCGCCGAGCTCGAACTCCTTCTGCATGGACGAGGAACAAATGGCGTTTTTGGATTGTACAGTATTTGCGGTTACAACTCGAAGGAATGTAAGAATTTCTTCTGATTGTACATGTGTTGTGATGGAGGATGGGTCCCGATGAAGGATGGGTCAAGCAAGTGCATGGTAAAAAGGACGGGCTTCATGAGTGGTTACAGGGGCCCGGCCATTTGTGCGCCGTCGTGTCTTCCCTGAATGTTTGCCTCCTCAGTCCACGGGCCCGCAAGACGGTTAATTGTGCTTATTGTTCTCCTCACGCTACTGTGGCAGATGAAACGGGAATGAAAGTAGTACCAGAGGCCCTTTTTTATGAATGCAAAGGCAACCGTTTTTTATTGCTCTTCATTTTTGTTTTCTTTTTTCTTTTTTTGAAAAATATGTGAAATTATTGAAATGCTCTTAAAAAGCAGTTATTTGTAGTCAAAACCACTTTTATACCCGGTTTAGAGGACAATTTGACAAACCCGTATAGTTTAAGTGGTGATTTGTAAAAAATTAAAGTTTATATGGTGATGCGCCAAAATCATTATATGTTTATGCTCCCAGATATGATTTTCAGGACATATATAATGTCTTGTTAAATCTCCCTAAAACACGACCCGACATACACTGGCGTATTGCTCTTCTGGTATACAAATGATTCCATGGAACATATTCATTCATACAAATTCTGTATTGTATACCTTATTATCTCAAGTGAAGGATTATAGCTTTTAGCTGGGGAACCAATTTTATCCATATGGAACCTTATATCTCAATCAAAATCTTCAGAATTGACATTACAGAATATTAAGAATACGAAGTTCAAATCCATCCAATAGGAGCCGGACAATTTGTCACAAAAGATAATATCCGGACATATCAATCATAAACAATACACAAATAACTCCCAATCGCACCATAAAGCATAAATCAACCGTGATATCACTAAAATCGAGTAGTCACCATTATTATTAGTCTTTTATCAACCGTGATATCACTAAAATCGAGTAGTCACCATTATTATTAGTCTTTTTCTGTTCTTTCTGAAGGTTAACACACAACAACTCAATAACGGTATTTGGTAGAGTAATCCTTGGGAGCAATAACGAGACCACGGCCCTTCCTAGCACCACGGTATACAGTCTCAACAATATCGATGAATTCCTGCTTATCTTTCATGGCCCAGTTGATCTTGTTGTTATTTCCCGTGCCAAGATCAATCATTATGTGCTTGTTCCTGAAGAAGAACATAATAGTTGAGGGATCATACAGTTCGTACATTGTATTGAAATCGGGCACCTCCGTTATGTCCACGAGGTAAATAACAGCAAAGTTCTTTATGGTCTCGGCTACTGAAGCCAGCACCTCATCCATCTGAAAAATTATGGCAAGTTGAAAACATAAGATTGTTGATAAACAACATTTCTAAGCACATAGAAAAAAGAAGAAATAAAATATCAGCAGAATAGGAGAACATGATGAGGGCATTATCAAAGAAATATCTCGATTGTTGGAGCATCATTCTTTTAGGAAATGGTTCGGAATAACCGAAAGAAACTAACAAATGTATGGCTATTAGGTTAGAATATATATATATATGCCTATCATGACAAACGGCACTTGCATAAAATCTAAGATTAGGCGAACAAGTCTAATACTAAACTCTAATTCCCACTCCTTGCGTGCACGCCGTAGAAAAAATGGAATATTTTTTTTACTTTTTTTTTTCTAAATACCCAGATTGCAACACTAAGTACAGAAAGTACTACTTTCACCTGCATAAAAACATTATTGTTGTGATGTGAAACATGTCAAATGTCTAACTCATTTAAACCGTAATAATCTCTCACCATGTACCTGAATGAATATTTCAATCACACACAAAGACTCGAAAGCTACGCATTATCTGTAACATTAGAACTGTGTATCTGAAACAAGACCTATATGTCACCACAATGACTTCAACTTACTAATGAAAATCGACATCCATGAAGGTGATTAGTGTATTTACTCGGACTGTTGAGTAATGTGTCATCATAGCAAATATTACCTCTTTTTTTTTTTTTTTAATAAATGTCATTTTGGCTTTATCAACAATTGATTAAATAAATGATGTTTTGGAATTTTTTTACATATTTTTCCATTATTATCCTTATCTACCTAATAAATACACTACGTCTTTTCATATTCACTCTTTATTTTTTCTCAAAATATCCATCTCTATCCTCATTAATGAGGGTTATTATTGGCAAAAATAATATTCTTAATTAGTGTGCAACTTCTCAAAACGAAGTCTATTAAAAAAAAGGAGGGAGTACTGTTCAACCAAACACAATACTCAAACTAGTTCTGCCAACAAATTAATAAACTAAATAAACACCAAATTACAGGCTATCGATCCAGAATCAAGATCTACTACTTCATAGCTAATAATTGCTCAGTCAGCAAATCAATTAACAATTTCTCTTAATTAGCAAGTCAACAATGTCGAAAGAAATTCCAATTCAATCAAAACTATAGACTCAACAGAACCCCAATTAACGTAATCGCACAATACAACAATTGGGGGGAAGAAAACAGAGCATGAGCGCGACGAATTTGGATTGATAAAAAAGAAAAAGTTGAGATAATTGACCTGCATGCAAGTCTCGTCCCAGTCGTGGCCAAAACGGATGATGACGAGGCGCTCCTCCTCGGCGAGTATCGCCTGGTCGACGGCCCACCCGGAGTGAAGGTGCGGCAGCAAATACGACATCGTTTTGTTTTTGTTTTTAATTTCTCTGCTTCCTCCCTACGCGGATTGGGAATGTAATGCGATTTGCCAAGAGTTGTACATGGGTTATTTTATAAGCTTTTTTATTTAAACTAGTATAAATCTCATGCGATGCACGAGAGCATTTATTACCCATTGATTTTTTAAAATATATTTTGGTATTTAAATTATTTCATGTCATTAAAAAATTCATGAAAATGAAATTTATATGTTATTAAACATTTCCTTATATACAACTTTATTGATTTGATTCTTTGACACGTAAAGTACTACATAGGTGTTTGAATTTATCCAAAATTGCATATGATTAGTTATTAGTTAAAAAATTTTAAAAAAAATTAAAGGATCTTATTTATTAAACAAAATTAAAGTAGAAAAAAAGTATAATTTTTTAGAGATTTTTACGCATTATTTATTTTAAATCTAATTCTAAATTTCAATTAAAAAAAAATTGAAAAGAATCATTAGTTACTCCTGGAAATGAAACTGATTTTCCTATCAATAAACCGATTTTTTTATCAAACAGATTGATCCGAATTTTTTTTAAACCAAATAAAAAAAATCATCAATTTTTCTTAAAAATGCAACCGAATTTTTCTAACATTGCACCAATTTTTGTACCAAACAAATTGAATTAAAAATAATTTTAATAAAAAATTGAAATAAATTGTTAATGTTATGAAACTATCTCTTTCCTAAAAAAATGATATGAACTTAACAAAAAAAAATAATAATAATATGAACTTACCAAAATCTCGGTAAAACATGGTTAAGAAAAAACATAAGAATAAAAAAAAAACGATTATTTAAATTTTGAAAAGTTGCACACAATTTTTCCTAAATAATTGGATAAGGTGACTTTAAATATCAATGATGGACCGCTTTTGTTACAAAAAAATGTGGACACAATTTTGAATGTACATCCCGTCCAAATATCAGTTTTATTTTAAAATAAAAATTGCATGTGGCTTTATCCAATTTACACAATTTTTTTGAAAAAAAAAATTACTCAATAAGATTGGAAGAATTGATTGAAAATTATACAACTATTTGCTTCCTAAATTTGTATCCAGGTTGCACGGTTTTTAAATTAATTTGTATTTATAATTATTTTCATAAATAATTGACATCTTTTTTTGCATAAGAATCTCCAAATTTGTTACCAAAACAAATATGATTTAAATTTTGGTAAAAAATAAAATATGATACGAAAAAAATGGGATTTAAAATTTTCCATAAAATCTCCAAATTTGTTACCAATAAAATAGGATTTAGATTTTGTTACTAAAGATTCACATGTGTTTTTTTGAACTTTCCATTAATAGTAAGTCAAACATTATATTTATTTGGTCAAACTTTCTATTAATGTATTTTTTCAACAACCTCTTTATATATACTAGTGAGCAACCTGTGCGATGCACGGTGAAGCTTGTTCCTCAAAACCTATTTAAAACTTTATTTTTAAATATAATTACTAAAATTTAAACATTTCATTATGGCAAAAAATTAGATATAAAGTATGAAAAATCATATATTGTTGAGCAATTCCCTATACACAATATTTTATGTTTGATTTTGTGGCAAACTTTCTTGGCAACAAATTAAAATTCTCAAACATTTGTGTGAAAAAAAATAAATTATAATATATTATTTGTAGTGTGATAAATCCTAATATATTATTTTTAGTGTGATAAAATGTGTTGGGATAACTAAGACCATTTGACAAAATATTTAATAGTAATCTTACAACATAAATTTAAAAAGATAAATATGACCATTTGAAAAAATATTTATTTGTAATCTTAAAATTTTAAATTTTGAAAAATGACTATATATATCCGCCAAGTTTTTAGGAACCAATCGATCATATAATATAAAATTCTTATATGATTTTCAGAGTCTACGTTAACTTTATTTTTTAATTTCAAATTTAAACAAATCAAAAGACAAATTATTAGGTAGTTATGAAAAAAAGTATCCAACAAACAATTTTTTAATTTCAAATTTAGCAAATCAGAAGACAATTATTAGGTAGTTATAAAAATAGTCTCCAACAAACTTCAAGTTAAACGACACACAACCATCAGATCTGGAGTTGGTTGCAGTCGGCGATCACCACCGTCCGGTCTCGACATTCGGTGGCTCCCCGTCCCGACATTCTCCACCGCCTTCAATACGTCGTACTCCTCCACCACCTGCCCGAGCACCACGTGCTTGTCGTCAAGCCACTTCGTCTTTGTCGTGCAGATGAAAAAGTGCGTGTCATTTGTCCCCAGCCCGGCCTTCGCCATCGACAGGTCAGGGTGTGCTTTCTCACGATGTTCTCGTTGGCAAATTGGCATCGTAGATCGACTTGCCGCCAGTGTCGTTACCCGCAGTGAAGTCACTACTCTGATAAATGAAATCGGAGATTACACGGTGGAAGGATGACCCTTTGGGGTGGAGGGGCTTGCCAGATATGTCGACGTCCTTCTCGTCGGTGCATAGGGCGCAAAAGTTCTCGTCAGTCTTCGTGACGACGTCGGCGAAGAGCTCCATCAGGATTCAGCGGCGGGGCTAGCTGCTGATCGTTATGTCGAAGTAAACCCTAGGATTCGATAGGTTGATTTTGAATTTTTTATTTAGGAGTTTATTGTGATTTATTTGTGACTAACTGATTTTTTTTTTGTCTCAAACTTAAGGTTTTGTGATTGGGTTGGGAGAGGTTTATATAAGGGATTGATTGAGTGCAAATTGTAGAAAGATGGGTTCTTTCTAAACTTTAAAAAAGATATTGTAGTTAGATAAATATGGAGAAAAAAATATTTACCAGGAATTCACATAATATGAGATTCTTTTCAAACTTTAAAAAGATTTTGTAGTTTAATAGATATGGACAAAAAAATATCCATAGATAGAGATTTTCCCGGATTTTCAAATCTTATATATATATATATATATATATATATATATATATATATATAAATCAATTTGTGCTTTGGATGGGAATTTGCGATTTCTTTTTTAAATCCATTATCAGTAAAAACGAAAATTTTAGGCGGAATTTTACATACTATTCACAGCTATATGTTTTACCTTTTTATATATTCATAGATATATATTTAAGTCGTGATTTTTTGTAAATTAATAAATTTTTTATATTCTATGATTATATGGCTAAAAATATGTTGTTTCAATCAAATAAGTCATATATTATTTCAGTTAAAGAATATAAACCACCAAAAAATAGAAAAGAAGTTAGGATATAGGTAATAAAATAATGTAATTTATTACTTTTAAGAAAAACAAATCAATATATTTACACACAAAATTCATAAATATAAATAATTTATGGAGGATTGAAGTTTATCAATACTTAGTATAACATCCATTATTCCCGGAACAACTTTTTGTTTGATTTGCAACATTAATTTGAATGAAAAATAAATTCGTAATTGTTGGGATATCTTGATTTAAAATCTCAATTTTTTTGGCACAAAAATATCAAAATTTGATACCAAAAAAATGGGATTCGTATTGATGAAATGAATTAAATTTTGGCGTAAGAATCTCCAAACTTGTTATCTTACGAATCTCCAATTTTTATGGGATATCTCATTAAGTTTGATTCATAAAGAGAATAAGTTGTTTCAATCGAATAATTCATATATTATTTCAATTAAAGAATATAAACCACCAAAAAATAGAGAAGATGTTAGGATTTAGGTCATAAAATAATGTAATTTATTATTATTTAAGAAAAGCAAACAATATACATACACACAAAATTCATAAATATAAATAATTTATGGAGGATTGGAGTTTATCAATATTTAGTATAACATCCATTATTCGCGAAATAATTTGTTGTTTGATTTGCAACATTAATTTGAATGGAAAAAATCGTAATTGTTGTGATATCTCAATTCAAAATTTTAATTTTTTGCCATAAAAATCTCTAAATTTGTTACCAATAAAAATGAGATTCGTATTTATGAAATGAATTAAATTTTGGCATAAGAATTTTCAAATTTGTTACCTTAAGAATCTCAATTTTTTTAGGATATATCACTTAAATTTATTTCCTAAAGAAAATAAGTTGTTTTAATCATATAAGCCAAATATTATTTCAATTAAAGAATAAACCACCAAAAAATAGAAAAGAAGTTAGGATTTAGGTCCTAAAATAATGTAATTTATTATTATTTAAGAAAAATAAATCAATATATTTACACACAAAATTCATAAATATAAATAATTTATGGAGAATTGGAGTTTATCAATATTTAATACAACATCCATTATTCCCGGAACAATTTTTTGTTTGATTTGAAACAGTAATTTGAATGGAAAAAAATTCGTAATTGTTGGGATATCTCAATTCAAAATTTTAATTCTTTTGCATAAGAATCTCCAAATTTGTTACCAATAAAAATGGGATTTGTATTTATGAAATGAATTAAATTTTGGTACAAAAATCTCCAAATTTGTTACCTTTAGAATCTCCACATTTTTTGGGATATCTCCCTTAAATTTGATTCTTAAAAATTCACATGTGCTTTTTTCGAAATCTCCACTAATAGCAAGTCAACACTTTATTTTTAAAGTCAAAGTTACTATTTTTTTATTTTTCCAACAACCTCTTTATATTACTATAGATATAGATATGTTTTTAATTAGGTTATAAATTTTCTAATTCATATAAGCTTTGTTTAGTAGAAAATGTTTATTTTTTTAACCTCAATATATCTCATAAGTTTTTTTGAATAGTTTTTTAAATAAATTTTTGAAATTTTATTTCAACTAGTTTGTCAGTTATTTTTATCAAACAATTTTATTAAAGTTAGTTTTTCAGTCATAAACTCATACACCATCCAGCTATATTTATTATACATCGCTTATGTTGACACTGAAAAGCGTTGTTTGCTTCCGGTTAGATTTCTTTCTCCTATCCCATATACTATTGAGTTTTATTTTGTCTATATAATAGATTTAAGTCTTAATGTGGTGAACTATATATATAAAAGAAGACCATACTGACTTCAAGATAATTCTTTGGGGCACCATCTAGGATGAATCAGGATTTGGGTAAATTCTATCCTACCCCATGGGGTAATGCCCCTATGGGGTTTTGGCCACAAATTTGCACACAATCACACACACACTCATGTGGGTGTGTGCGAAATTTGTAGTCAAAAACCCCATGGGGGCACTACCCCATAGGATAGGATAGAATTTTCCCAGGATTTGACCTGTCCAAATGCTCTCTATCTATTAATTCAAAATGTGTTAGAGCCTAAGTGGTAGGTTCGCATGCTTCGGGATCATATGTGACAAAATTACATGCTTCGTTATTTGGTTTGAATAGATTTTAATTTAATTTCAATTCAAAAATAATTGTGTTCGGATTACCATAAATATATTGATTTATTTATGATCATTTTAGATATATTAATTTTATTTTAATATCATTTCATATTATAATCATTGAATTGTAAATATATTTTAAAAGTTGATAACTTTTGTATTTCTTATCGGTTTTACGTATATAAATATCAAATTAATCATCTTTTGATGAGTTGCGATCTGATATCCATATTGTATATATAAAATAAATAAATTATATTTATCTTTATAATAATAATAAAATTATTTATTAAAATTAATTAGAAAATAAAATTAAATATCAATTAATATATTTATGTTTAATGTAGTTATATGTTATAATATAGAAAATTTATTATAATATAACACATGTAAGTCGCACAAGTAACATTTGTCATACTAAAATATATAATAATATATATTTTGTAAAAAGTTTTTAAATTTTTAACCACTTATTCTCATTAATTTTAAATTTTTTTTAAAAAAAAAATTAACAAGCACCATTGTAATACACGGATATTGAGTAGTTACCTTTATAAACTAATTTGGTAATGGTTTTGGATGAGACACTGTCCCAAATAAACATGTACTTATTTAGAATTGAACAAATCAGTTTGGGACTATGTTGATTCATAAATAATAATAATAACATTGATATCATAGGGGTTAGACCCATGTTAACAATATAGTTTTTAAGAGAATCAATTATTATTCAGAAATTAAAAAAGTCACCATCATCTTCAAACCATCATACTTGAGACAAATTACAATGTTCTTAAAATTATTTTCGTTTTCAATTATCATAATCAACATCATCAAACCATCATACTTGGGACAAATTACAATGTTCTTAGAATTATTTTCGTTTCCAATTATCATAATCAACATCATCAAGTCATCATCTTCAAATTATCTTCTTACAAGTGTTGTGTGGGCATAAAGGTAGAAAAAATTGAAAATGTAAAGTACAACTGCTTGTTGTCTGCAAGTCTTTGTCACTTTCAAGGCCATTTAGTATTTTAGTTTTGATTACTAATTTTAGTCTACGTATCATTGATTTTAGTTTTGAATTTTTTTTTTCATTTATAGTTTTTTTATTTGTTAATTATTGNAGTGAATTAACTCGAAGTGAATTTTTTGTAGTTAATTAAGGTTAATTTAGAAAAGTGATATATTTTTTTTTTTGGTACAAGAAAGGGAGACAAGCCTACGCAACAAACTATCTAAGCTTTAAGTTTGGGTCTTTCACATTATATCTATAATGTCATGTATAAAAAACAGTACAAATTGTCCAGTGCATGACAAAAATAGTAGATGTCTTGGGCTGGACAGACTCACCCGAATGCCAAGAAAAGGCGTCTTATATTCTAATGGTGATGGCTTATAAGTCGTATGCCGATCGACAAGCCATAATCGAGGCTGGGGCAGTTTCGGCACTACTCGAGCTCACTCTCTTTGGAAGTGTGCTAGCGCAGAAGAGGGCTTCGAGGATGCTGGAGCTGCTGAGGGTCGACAAGGGCAAACAGGTTGTGCTGACGAATGTGCTGCCCCACTGATGTCATCACCTTCGCCGAATTCTTTTGCAGCAAAGGAGGAGGAGGAGGAAGAAGAGGAGACGATGATGATGAGTCACGAGAAGAGGGCTGTGAAGCAGCTTGTGCAGCAGAGCCTGCATACTAATATGAAGAGGATGGTGGAGAGGGCGAATTTGCCGCAAGATTTTGTGCCCTCCGAGCAGTTGAAGGCACTCGCGTGTGGCTCCTCCANGCTTTTTTTTTTGGCATGTTATTATGACACTTGATCTTACTTTTTGGATAGTGTTTTTTTTAGGGTAATTGTTACCTTTTTTGGATGTTGGCTTTTCAACTATAGATGCATCTTCACTGGATAATTATTGCTATGGAGCAAGCATTTCATCATTGAGTGTTTCTTCTTTTTACCTGGTTAATTCATCATTGGTTTGAACGCAAAAATCTCACTTGGGGCATGCCGTAAAGTATATTAATCATTTTCGTGCTAATGTCTTCCTGATATCAACTGTTATGGGAAGAAAATAGTTTGTAATCTTCAAGATTTTTATTCATGACTCACTCAACTGGGATGGGATGGAGAATTCAGAATGGGCACTCAACTCGGGACACAAAGAAGAACCTTCTCTTACAGATAAAAAAACTCTCCATTTTTAACCACAAACAAAGCCCTCGACAATAATACACAAAAATTTAAACCAAGAGCTCCAAAATCTGACCAGAATGCAGAACAAAGAGAGGAAGAACAAGAAGAAGAGAGGATGAGAGAGTTTCTGCTCACCGTTAGGCTGCAAAAATTGAAAATATTATGCCCTGAATAAGAAGATTACATGAAGAGACTGTAAAATCAAAATTGTTTTGAATCAAAAGGCCATGTGCGAGATGCAGAGATAAAGTGAGCTAAATTCTAATATTCTCCATATTTTGGCTCACAACCAATTCACTAGACGAAAAAAGAGAACAGTATGATTTCATCATTTTTCATATCTTAATTATATACTGTACTTGAACTCAAATACAACATTACCGCAAATATGCAACAGACACGAGGTCGGCTATATCACAAAGTCAGTGGTCAAAAGTGCAACTATGTGTTGTAAGTTGTAACTGAAATTTCCAACTTACACAAAGTAAACACATAAGAATTCATAGATTTTTTTTTTTAATTATTATTATCTCTATCACTAGCATTGTTGGAACCCACATAGCCAACCAATTTTAACACCTTTCGAAAAATTCAAACCATAGTTTATAGAACCCAGCAAATACCTCAAAAACAACTTCATGACTTGAGGTAAAGACCGGGATTAGAAATATATCCTAAAAAAGCTTAAAAAACCTCGTTTCCCACCCAGCTCTGCCCACTGAGTAAGCCCGGAGTGTGAAGCACCCTCCTCCAATCCCTGAGTCCAGCAAAATAGCCTGGAGTGTGAAGTCACTCAAAATAGCCTCTCGTTTTTTGCCCAAACAATTTCCCTCACAGGTACTCTACAAATTCGCTTCGGCTGAGTTTTACTACCTTGCAAATGGTACTCCATAGTTTTTTCACAAGGAATCGTATACATACAAAAGAGTTTTAAAATGAGAGACCGACATAGCAAACAATCAGCACCATGTCCTAGTACAGCAAAACATAAAAACAATCAGCACGCGTCAAAATTACCTAAACTGCAGAATTCCATTGAGGATGGCGATTTCGTCGGCCTCGCTCCATATTCTCTGGAACAGTTGTTTCTTCTCGGATGTCTCGGGTTCAGCCTTCTTACTGTTCTTCGACTTCTTGGTGACAGTGGGCTCCGTCACTTTACCCTCCTCGACGGCCCTCTTCCTGGTAGATCTGGCCGCTGACGCCGGCGTCAGCGGCCAGATCTACCAGGAAGAGGGCCGTCGAGGGAAGGGGTTTGGGGTTTCCTCGCGGCTGCCGGCGGTGCTGAAGACTTCCGGATCGGTTCGGGCTCAGATTCGATTTCCTCAGACGAAGAATCGTCGGTTTGCTCCTCGCCAGAAGAGGTTTCAGAGGAGACGAGCTCACGGGCTTTCGACATTTTTCGGTGAGAAAAATGTTAGGGTTTTTCTTTGGAGGGGTCAGACTGAGGGTGAGTGACGAAGTAGTAGTAAGTTCTGAAGGGTTTGGCTTGTCAATCTCTGCTTATATATGTNTTCCTATATATTAACTAGTACAAATCTCGTGTATAAACTAAAATTTTTCATTAAATAATATTTATAAATAAAAAATATGGAATCAATATGTAATACAATGTATCTATATTAATTTATTGAAAATGTTATATAAAATTTAAATTGCGTAAAATTACATAAAAATATCTATTTAAAATTATAGTGAAACTGATTACAAATGTCATATGGTTTGTTTCTATTTGATGCACGGTTTCATTTCAATTTTCGAAAAACTTAAACAAAGAGTATAAATATTTGATATTATTTCCAAAATTTTAAGATTGTTATTTAGTTAGAAAAATATGGTCAAGATTAGGGCTGCACACGAACCGAGCAGCTCGCGAGCGCTCGAGTCAAAGCTCGGCTCGAGCTCAAATTTTACCTTGTCGAGCGGCTCGAGATTATGTTAAATTACAAAAATACCCTTATATATGTGTGTATCTTAATATTAATATATGTACTTAATGGTAATTTTACAAATTTACTTGAAAAATTTCGAACCGAACTCAAGCCGAGCTCGAGCATTATGAAATCGAGTCGAGCTCGAGCCGAGCTCGAGCTATTGTATTTGTTTGTCGAGTCGAGCTCGAGCATCAAAAAATCGAGCTCGACGAGCTCGATCTCGAACTTCAGCAACCTAAAAAAAATGATCAATCCTGCTCGATAAGGCCAATGCTCGACTCGGCTCGACTCGTTTGCAGCCCTAGTCAAAGTGATAGCATATGTCATCCGATATCCCCCTAATTAATAGGACGATTTTATTTTTCAATTCTCAAAAAATTCAAACAGATTTTATAGAGGCGGGATATTTCGAATTTTTGCAAAAAAATTTACTATAATTAGTAACTCTTGAATTTTAGGCGAGAATCCAAATGTTTTTTTGCTAATTTTTTGTTACTATTTCAAGTAAATATCATTGCCTCTTTATATATTAATAGATTCAAGACCTGTTGAGGCTAAGTGGAAGACTCGCACGCTTCAAACGCTGACATAACGAAAATCTATATTTCGTAATGTTATTTGTATATTCATTTCTGCTCTGCAATTAGACTTGGTATTAGACATAAATAACTTTTTCGGACTAGGTATGTATATTTAGTTTTGTTATTTTTTTTCCTTTGAGTACACATTTTGGGCAAGTAGCAATCTTACCAACTTATAATTTTCTCTCATATTTATCTCCTAAATTATGATTTACAAATCACTTTCTACACTGTCTATTTTTTTTTTTTCATCAATTAATCCATCAAAATTTACTCTGTGAAATGATGGCCATTTTACATGAATTAGTTATTGTTAGAATGTCAGACAACTTGTCTCATTGTTTTATTCACGATTGCGTAAGCCGATTACTTCTCTTTAGCTACAGTAGCTTAGCTTATGTTGTGCAAATGATGTGTGCTGCTCTGGAAGTCAGATTGGACCATAATGACCTCCAATTTTTCCTTTAATTGAAGTGGCACGAGAAAGAAATATTTATCATTGTTAGTTTTTCATTCTAATCTAACTATGATATGAAGTATCTTGTGCTACTTCCGAAGAAGCTCAGTCTACTGTTGAGAAAATAAGGTTCCTTGCTTATTGAGTCAGATGGGCCCTAATATTTTATGTTAAAGGTACAGTTCTGTGGTGCTTGGTTGCACTAGATTTAATTCTTTGGGGCACCATCTAGGATGAATCAGGATTTGGGTAAATTCTATCCTACTCCATGGGGTAATGCCCCCATGAGGTTTTGGCCACAAATTTGCACACAATCACACACACACCCATGTGGGTGTGTGCGAAATTTGTAGTCAAAAACCCCATGGGAGCACTACCCCATGGGGTAGGATAGAATTTTCCCAGGATTTGACCTGTCCAAATGCTCTCTATCTATTAATTCAAAATTTGTTAGAGCCTAAGTGGTAGGTTCGCATGCTTCGGGATCATATGTGACAAAATTACATGCTTCGTTATTTGGTTTGAATAGATTTTAATTTAATTTCAATTCAAAAATAATTAAGTTCGGATTACCATAAATATATTGATTAATTTATGATCATTTTAGATATATTAGTTTTATTTTAATATCATTTCATATTATAATCATTGAATTGTAAATATATTTTAAAAGTTGATAACTTTTGTATTTCTTATCGGTTTTACATATATAAATATCAAATTAATCATCTTTTGATGAGTTGCGATCTGACATCCATATTGTATATATAAAATAAATAAATTATATTTATCTTTATAATAATAATAAAATTATTTATTAAAATTAATTAGAAAATAAAATTATTTATCAATTAATATATTTATGTTTAATGTAGTTATATGTTATAATATAGAAAATTTATTATAATATAACACATGTAAGTCGCACAAGTAACATGTGTCATACTAAAATATATAATAATATATATTTTGTAAAAAGTTTTTAAATTTTTAACCACTTATTCTCATTCAATTTTGCCACTTCGGTTGTCGATTGGGTGTGTTTCTCCGGACAGCTCGTATGCTCTAGTGGGGCTGGGCTGCTGTTGTCGGAATTCTGAGGTGGGTAGGCGTGTGCTCGTGCTGTGAGGGGGGTCGGGGGGAGGGCTGTTTCTCTCTTGCTCTGTTCTCCATCGACTAGTGGTGTTAGGAGGCGTGGGAGGTCTTTTCGATCTCGTCTAGTGGTGTTAGAAGAGTGCGAATGGATTAGGTGTGAGATGGACCACGCTCTCTCGGTCATGGATGGGTCGATTCGGGGACTGGTTCGGGTTAGATTTCTACTACTGTATAGGCTTGATTGCAGTTTCGGTAGCAGATTCCTGGCCGGATTTGTCTTGTGTCGATCGTTCTCTGCTGGTTCGTGCTAGCTCGTTCGTCGGGGAAGGGTTGTTAGTTTTTTTTTAGTATTTTCTGTTGTTTTTGTTCTGTGTTTGTCTTGTTTGTGTTGTTTTGTATTTGTGTTTGTGTTTTAGGTTTGGGCAGTTAGCCTCGGTGGGACTATGTTGATTCAGAAATAATAATAATAATAATAATAATAATAATAATAATAATAATAATAATAATAATAACATTGATATCATAGGGGTTAGACCCATGTTAACAATATACTCCCTCCATTTTGAAATATAAGGCATTTAAGGTTATTGCACAAATATTAAGGAGACATTAATTAATGAATAAATTGACTAAATTAACCTTATTTACTCTAATCACAGCCACTCCACACTTCCTTAATTTCAACACAATGAGGGTATATTTGGAAAAAAATGTAAAAATTTGTCTTGATTTTTGAGCGCGCCTTATATTTCAAAAAAATTGAGAAATCTTTATATGCCTTATATTTCAAAATGGAGGGAGTAGTTTTTAAGAGAATCAATTATTATTCAGAAATTAAAAAAAGTCACCATCATCTTCAAACCATCATACTTGAGACAAATTACAATGTTCTTAAAATTATTTTCGTTTTCAATTATCATAATCAACATCATCAAACCATCATACTTGGGACAAATTACAATGTTCTTAGAATTATTTTCGTTTCCAATTATCATAATCAACATCATCAAGTCATCATCTTCAAATTATCTTCTTACAAGTGTTGTGTGGGCATAAAGGTAGAAAAAATTGAAAATGTAAAGTACAACTGCTTGTTGTCTGCAAGTCTTTGTCACTTTCAAGGCCATTTAGTATTTTAGTTTTGATTACTAATTTTAGTCTACGTATCATTGATTTTTGTTTTGAATTTTTTTTCATTTATAGTTTTTTTATTTGTTAATTATTGATTTATTTTTTTNTGAATTTTTTGTAGTTAATTAAGGTTAATTTAGAAAAGTGATATATTTTTTTTTTTGGTACAAGAAAGGGAGACAAGCCTACGCAACAAACTATCTAAGCTTTAGGTTTGGGTCTTTCACATTATATCTATAATGTCATGTATAAAAAACAGTACAAATTGTCCAGTGCATGACAAAAACACTTGAAATCGATGCAAATATTATTTTCACGGTAGGAAATTAGAGTAAACCTTTTAGAACCGTATTTTTTCAGACGGGGCCACCTAGTACGAAATGTTTTGATTTTTTGTCACCTTTAATTATTTTAACTTGGGTCTAATGTGAAACTAAATAATTATGTGTGATCAATTAAAATAATAATTTAAATTAGAGATCTAGTCTCAAGCAAACCTTTCATTATTACATAGAAGAGATGCCGTGGACGGGTCATCCCTCTTCGTTTCTCTCTCCTCTATTTTAGCTTTGCAAATAGTGTGAGTAATTTGAGCAATTGAGTAATATGAGGCGGCAGAGTTCCTACTCTTCGGGCTGTGGTGGAAGCAATGAGATGATGAAGAGATGAAATGACAGTTTCGTGAGTGAACCCTGAAAGCTGCTTCGATTTTGTTTTTATTGTTTTTCTGCCCATAAAAAAAAGATCAAATAGCGTGAGAAATATACGCTATTGCGTAAAAAAACGTAAGATATCGCTAAAAAAGCGTGCCACGTCAATAATAGCGTACGCGTTTAAGGAATTACGCAAGTTGCGTTTTCTAGTTCAACCGTGCTATTGCGCGCTATATAGCACGCGAAAATGCGCTTTTTAAAACACTGATTAATATTATATAAGGGTGGCTGATAAAGTAATTAAATGTATAATAAAAAAATAAAAAAAATAAATTATATATTTTATTGAAGTTGAAAAAAAAAATAAAGAACCATACATAATAATTTATAATAAATAATTAAGTGAATTAACAATATTATTTTAAATTTTGAAAATTAATTTATATACCACATTAATTTTATTTATAATATTTTTACTTAAAACAAATAAGGGAATAATATGAACAAAATACAAAATTGAAAAAGTAAGATCATATGGACATTATAGAAAGAAGATAATAAATAGATTTATATGAACCGTTTTAAATATGTGTATATATATGGTAAT